CCCAGCACCCACATGGCAGCTAACAATGGTCCATAACTCCAGTTCTAGATGGCCAGCACAGCATACAACATTGGTGCAGTAGTGGTACATTTATCTTTGGGGCAATCAACAGCTTCCTAATTGAGCTGGAAGATGGCACAGCAGTTAAGAGCACTGGCTGCTCTTGCAGAGGACTGGAGTTCAATTCCCAGCACCCACATGGCAGCTAACAATGGTCCATAACTCCAGTTCTAGAGGAATCCAACACCCTCTTCTGACCTCCTTGGGCATTACCCAACATGGTATATATACAATACACTCATACACATAAAATTAAAATAATAAATTTAAAAAAAATTTTTTAAAGCTGGAGCTGGAAAGATGGCTCAGCAGTTAAGAGCACTGACTGCTCTTACACAGGACCCAGGTTCAATTCCCAGCATCCAATAGTGGCTAACAACTGTCTGAAACTCCAGTTTCAGGAGATCCAACACCCTCTTCTGACCTTCGTGGGCATTGCATGACACAGGCGCACTTACATTCACGCAAGCAACACACATAAAATAAAAATAATTTTAAAAAAGCATGGGCCATTTACATAAGTAAACCATTAACCTGAAGACTTGCTTAACTAAAAGTTATCCACTGAATCCAAGGAAAAAGGCGGAGACTCTTATACAAACCTAGAGCAATGGTGTCAGCATGCACAGGACCCATACAAACACAGACAGACAAAAACCCAGCACAGAACTGTGGAAATGAAGCAAGCCCCAATCTTAGCTGAAGAATTATTGGCAGCTGATTATTGCTAGGTGAGGAAGAGCAGATCTTCTTGAAGAGAGAGACTCTAGATAGCCTGACTAAACCCCAGTAGATGAACTTGCTCTGAGGGACATCTCAGGACACTACACAGGATTTGGATCAATAGAGCTGCAACTGACCTGAAAGCACGTCCCCTTGCTCTCATAGCTTTGGAGAGCACTGTGAAGGTACCAAAGGAAAACATCAATCCATGGTCCAACACCAACTTCAAAACCAAATAACCACATCAATGGCCAGCACAGCATACAACATTGGTGCAGTAGTGGTACATTTATCTTTGGGGCAATCAACAGCTTCCTAATTGGACTAAAAGCCCACTCAATGGGAAGAAATTCAAGTGTGGTACTGTAAACATAACCAAACACACATGGCTGGAGTGGTCATAGGTCTTAGAAAAAAACCCAAAGACTGTCATCTCTAGACTAATGTGATTTTTTACTATGTGCAAAATATGTATCTTCATATTTACAAATATCCCAGTCACAACTCAACAAAGAAGCTCATTTTACACCAGTCAGAGACTATTACCAAGTACCACAACTGGTCACACACAGACATTGTCTATGAATTTCCCCAAGCCGAAGTGGCACACCTAATATGCAACCTCTACACCTAAGGCTCATGGAACATAGAACAGGGGTAAAGAAGAGGACACTAAGAATCTCTCAGTCTCATTAATGAAGCTCCCTCATGCAGCAGAGGGCCCGGAACACAAAAGGTTACAAATGGCCAAAGAGTAGGGATCAAGAGTCTGCTGAATGCTTGTCCTTGGACAGGACTCCTTTATGAAATTTCAGCCGCCCACCCAAAGCTCAGGGACCATCACAGAAGAGGGGGCAGAAAGATTGTAAGAGCCAGGGAGGAGGTACAGGACCATATGGAAACAGAGTCCTACAAGCTCCCGAGAACCTGCTTATATGATTACATGGCAATAGATAGGCTGACTAAACCCCAGTAGATGAACTTGCACTGAGGGACATCTCAGGACACTAATTGTATATGATAGGCCTTAATACAAATGACAGAATGTATGAACTCCAGTGGGAGGGCTATGGGAAGGTGTCAAAGGGGAAGTGGGGAGAGGGTATCAAGATGGTTTTATGCATGAAATACTCAAAAGTTCAATAGAAATTATTTTAAAAAGAAAATAAAAACCAGCAGAATAGCCTAGCTAGTTTTAAAAAAGAGGGAATCATATTGTCCAACAACCTAACGACAAATTACACATTATCTCTACATGAGTCCATGTGTATAGCTAAAGGCTACATAACAAGAAATAGCGCTAGACAGGAGAAACCTTCTTTTGAGTTGCTGGCCAGGGTGGCCCAAGAGACTCCCAAAGTTACTCAGGCTATTGCCACAGCCCTTGATGGCCTCCCAGAACTTGAAGGCAAGACCCTACTGTTGAAGACAGAACATACTTTGGACACAGGATTTGGAGCAATAGGGCTGCAACTGACCTGAAACCACTTCCCCTGAAGGCTAGCTCTCATAGCTTTGGAGAGCACTATGAAGGTGCCAAGAGAAAACATCAATCGATGGTCCAACACCAGCTTCAAAACCAAATAACCACATCAA